GGTGTGGAAATTTAAAGACTTCAGCGAAAAGAAAAATATTTAAAAAATACAAAAACAACTGCAAAACGGCAAATTATCGGTAATTATGTTTGTAGTTTTTCAATATTTCCCTTTTAGCTAAAGTCTTGAAATTTCTACACCACGTTTTTCAATAGCTTCAATTTGATATATAGCCCAACGTTCAGAGTTGAGTACTTCTGCTCATAACTCAGAAAAACTAAAATGCACTGGCTTTAATCCCCCCCCCCCCCTGAGTTAGCCTTCCAGTTTATTTATAGTTCAATGTAGGAAACTAGCTGACGTAAGCAAAAAGAACCTAGTTGTAATCTGTGACGTCACGCGTATTGCAAAGTTCTCGGCATTTTTGTTGTTTCGCTATACTTACTCCGCTTTAAAAGAGTAATATTGAAGCATATACTGGTCTAATTGTTTTAAAAACATGCCTAAGCCACGACAAAGTATTCAAGATAAATGTTTTTCGTCTTTGTTTTGTATTTTTTTACATTTGTAGCTACGAAATTGGCGTCCCCAATTTTAACGAAATTTGGGATGCCGTTTTCACTTTTCACTGTTTAGTGCTTGAAATATTTGCTAAAATTGACTGGGAATACTTAGAAATTTCATCGTAGAATGGCGTAGTTATATTCATTTGCTCTTTGACTAAAATGTTTCACTGTATTATTGCTAAACATGCCGTTTTTGAGAATTTGGTTTGCAACTAGGTTTCAACATCTAATCACGCCATCAGCCCATTGAAAACATTAGGTCACGTCAGCTAGTTTCCTATCCATTTATTTTATTATCCATGACTAAACTAACTTAATTTATACTGGATAGCTTTACCAGTTCCAAACTCCTTGCGTTCTAAGAAGAGCTATCTCTTATTGATCCGGTGTTATACTACAGGAGGAAACATAAACTAAACTAACTTTATTTATATACTGAATAGCTCTATCAGTTCCAAATTGTTCTTCCTATAGAGGTCCAGTAAGTGTAATCTCTTATTCATTCAGAGTGATTCAGTGTTACTGGTTACTGCAGGAAGAAATTTAAACTAAACTACCTTTATTTTTACTGGATAGCTCTATTAGTTCTAAAGGTCCTGTACGAGTCATTCCTGATTGGTCCAGTGCTACTAAAAGACGAATATACCTAAATATCTAGAGTTAGATACGTGTTTCCTACTCACCTGGTTCATAATAGTCATACACTGTGACGGGTACAGGCTGAACAATGCCGACTTCAAAATCTCGTTTCAATTCCAGGTTGAAACATAGTTCGTGATCACTCGGTATTTTATCCACGTAAAGAACAGCATGTCGGTCTGAGATCTCGAATTTCGCAATGCCAGGTTGTACTTTGTCTCGGAACTGTGGGAATTTAATGTTTTGATAAATAAACAGACAATTTATATTAGAATATTGTGTTTTAGTGCAAGAAGCGTGAACAAGAAATGTAAAAAACCGTCAAAAATTTCACCAGCTCAAAGTCGATAATACAAATGTCTGGAACAAGTTGTTATCATCTTGTAACAAGCTAAGGTTGATGAGGCCAATAGACTTGCAACAAGTTGTCCCAACAAGTGTGATATCGTCTGCACGTAACATATTGTTAACAGGTTGATGATAACAAACTCGTAACAACCTATATATTGGCAATACATCTATAACTATAACTATAACTATAACTATAACTATATACATGCATCTAGCAAGTCTGTTACCGTCATCGACCTTAATTGTAACAAGGTAACAACAACTTGTTCCAAACTTGTCACAACAACTGGGAACAAGCGGTGCGAACAATTCCTGATATCGGCTTGGCAACAAACTTGTCAGTACCACTATTTGTTTTCAGATCTGTAACAACTTGCACGACTGTACGTGTGTACTATCACTGGAATCAACCCTTCACTGGAATCGGTGTACGGCCCGAATTAGTGGGTTGGTTTGCGTCCTATCTACATGGCAGATCGCAATTTACATCATTTCAAGGTGAGCAATCAGACCTGCGAAAGATCAGGGGTGGAGTCCCACAGGGTAGCAAGCTGGGTCCAATAGCATTTATCCTAAAAATTAACCATCTCCCACAAGTCGCTATACCTAATGAGCAGGAACAGATATGTGAAACATCTGATGATCAAGATATAGCTATGTTCGTTGATGATAGTACATTGTCCGAAGTCATTACCATAACTCAACATTCATCTGGTAGCCCAATTGGTAACACCCAACAAAGTGTAAATAACGTAGTGCAATTTGCAAAGGATGAGAGTATGGAACTGAATGGAAAAAAATGTAAAGAAATGCCAATTATTTTCGGAAGAAGAAAACAGAAATACCACTGATTAATATTGGTGACGATAAAATATCCCGTGTAAAGTCGTATAAATTGTTAGGAATATGGATAGACGATGACATGAGATGGAAAACCAACACTGAGTACATTGTAAAAAAAAGCGCTAAGCGACTTTACCTCTTGAAGATTTTAAAGAGTTATGGTGCACCAAAAAATGACCTATTAGCTTTCTATTGTACAGTAATTCGTTCTGTTCTGGAGTATGGTGCACAAATCTGGAGTGGTGGTCTGACACAAATGCATAAGAAAAACATAGAAAGAATCCAAAAACGAGCCCTCCGAATAATTTATCCTGGCCTTTGTGATTATGGACTTCTATTATCTCAGAGCAATCTGCTGACCTTAGAAGAACGCAGAAACAATTTATGTGCCTCCTTAATTGAGAACATGTTACAACCATCACACAAACTTCACGGACTATTGCCAAAGAAACTGAGTGACATCAGGGAAAGAGAGACTAGGACAAATGGTGAAAAGATTTATAACTTTTTTTGCAACACTGAACGTTTTAGAAACAGCCCTGTAGTTCATGCTATTAATGAATATAATTTTAGATTAGAAAAGTAAGATTTATATACATTTTATACAATTCCATATATATATATATATATATATATATATATATATATATATATATATATATATATATATATATATATATATATATATAAACGATTTTAATATACATATAGGTCCATTGATGTAAATAGTTTTAAATAAGTAATAATTTTAATTAATTCTAATTAATATCTGACGATGTAAACACGTTGTAATTTAGCTTGCTATTGAACGTGTATTAATAAACCCACTATTATTATTATTATAACCAACAGAACTACATACTGAACCAACGGCACAATCACATTCACAAATATGAACTGATCATGAAATAGATTTACAGTAAATGCAAAGTTAAAGCCAGGTAAATCTGTAGTGACAGGGCTTTTTGGTTCTCGTCTTAATATCGTAATACATGATAAAAAATTTTAAAATGTTAATTCACATCCCGCCATGTTGCGTTTGCGGAATCGAATTTAATAACAAGACGCTTGCTAAGCGTTTACTCGAGCTAAAGGATTTGCAGAATATCTGTGTATTCAGCGTATTCGCATCAAGATTAAATTTTTGCTTACTCCTTTAAAGTGCATTATTTACAAGTTAACTGAGCGGGGTCCTCGATCGTGGCGCAGTGGTTTAGGCGTCTGCTTGCGAAGGGTGCATGCTCCCGGGTTCGGGTGCCGTATAAGTAAGCAACTATAATTAACAGTTTTATTTTCAAGTTAAAATTTTTTTTTCAACTTCTTTTCATTTGAGTATGATTTTAAACTTCGGTCTTTGGATTAGGAGTTAGGGTTGTGTGTGGGGTGGTTTAATATTTTTAAGAGAATATTTTTAAGTTAACACTTTAGGACTAAATTTCCACTGCCTGCAGCCCGACTGCCGCGATGGAATTATAAAGTTTGATATAGTTTAGATACATGTGATGTCTGATGGATATTTTGAATATATATAAACTAGATGGAGCACACAAAATATGCGTACAGTCGTTTAGTTTTGAACCAGTATACCGAATATGGGTACAACCGTTTTTAAAAGTTTTGATCGAGTACGCTTAGAAAGCGTACAGCCGTTTGCCCGTTTTAATACTTTTGATCGAGTATGCTTAGCAAGCGTACAGCCGTTTACTTTTGATCGAGTACACGAAGAAAGCAAACATTGACAAATACTTGATCGAGTACGCATATTAAAATCCACTATCAGTCCTCAGAGAGTAAACAAAGTAGCACGACGGCAGGAAGTCGAATCAGCCATTGAACGCCAGCACGAACAGCAGGAAGTCGAATAAGCCATTGAACTGGCATAAGATAATCACAAATAATCATATGCGTCCACAATTTGTTTCGATTGGTCAGAATTAAAAGTGGCCGCGTGGGAGACTAAGTCTTGCGCGAAAAAAAAAACCCGACCCAAACTATGACTCGAGAACTACAGCGGAACACGCGATTTGATTGGTTAATAGCCGTGCAGGATCACGCTATCCTGCACGAGGAATTAAAATGCCTTCGCGGGATTTTCGCGGGATTCTCAAAATGTCATTGTTTCACTGAAGTTATTTTATAAAACAATTACCAAATGGTTTTCCAAGCAGGATGGCGTGATCCATGCTCTTGGGATGTTGCTCGACTTTCGGAAAGCGTAAAAATACACTCGCATGCGCTCGAGTATTTTTACGCTTTCCGAACGTCTCGCGACGTCCCTAGTGCATGGATCACGCAATCCTGCACGGAAATTTCAGGTTTTGCACGATAATTCCAGGTCCAGTGTTGACATGTGCTAGCTGCCATTGTAACTCATCATGATTAATTAAATTCTAAAATATTATTCCTTATTCTACCTCAAAAATGATGGTCCTCTGCATGCTCTGATGCTGAGTTGTGTCGGTCACGTGTGCCGCCCGTATCAATCCATCCCTGTTCTAGCTTGTACATTTTGTTATGTTATTTGTAGTATAGTGGATCAAGAGGGGGGGGGGTTACTTGCTACAATATAGGGGAATTCCCATTGTTCACCTCTGAAATTGTCGGTTCAATGGCTTCGATCCTCACATTGCACTAATGACACTTGTGTGAAAAGAGTTAGTCAACACTGTACCAAAAGTCTGGTTTCCTACCACAGGGAATGTTGGCAGGGTTGGAATTAGCCCCCTAACTAACCCTATTTCCGTCATAGCTGTGCACCGTGATCAGACATGAGTCATAAGGTGGCTGCCAGAGTGTCCTTATTGAGCCTTCGACTCGATCAGGTTGAGCTACATCCTTCACAATTCGGCTCAGTTCTCAGCTGCAATCATGGGCGTACCGGAAGGAAAAAATTAGGGGGGAGGAAAGAAAATTGCCCGACTTTTCGGGATTCTGCCCGACTAGTACCAAAAAAATTTCGGTCAGTGTACCATTTTAGGGGTCAAAAAAATTTTCCGGACAACCAATATTTTTCGGAACATGACACAAATTTTCGAAAAATAACAAAATTTGCCAAAAAATTGACTTAATTTTAGACAAAATTGTCAGAATTTGTCCCATTTTTTTTATTGCAAACCAAAATTGCCCGACTGTTGATC